TATATATGCATTCCACAAATCCAGCAGACTTCCACATGGGCGCAAGGTAGAAAAATAACGTCTCGTTCTCGCTTTCGACATATTCGGCAAACCTTTTCAGGCGATCCCCAGCATTCGTCGTCAGGAACGGAATTTGGCATTACTTCGATAGGCTTCCTACCAGACATTACGCTCTCTTTAAAAGCACGTACTGCTACACTTGACTATGATGATAGGGTTGTAATTCTTGAAGGTGCTGCGCTACTGAACCGTATGTTGTTGTTGATACCAGTCAATCTGGAGGACTGCGGCAAAATGTGGAGTTTATGCTGTGTTCGCTATATTAACCATAATACTTTTGAATGATTTTTGCAATACTCTTCAGTACTAATACAATTGTAGCGACTGTTATAAAATAAATAAGTCCAGAAATTTTATTCAAATCTGTTTTCGTATTTTCAGACGCTTCGATGAGTGCGTCTTCGTATACATCTTCATAATCGGAGCAGTTTAAAATAGGTAATGACCTCCATGTATCAAAATCTCCAATCGACTTATTTTGAAACGTTATTCTCAACTTGTATAATTTAGAATGTTCCGGAATTGACGCCCCGAAGACCCTCAGCTTTCCACCATTAACTATATTACGTCTCATCTGAATTAACGTATGTGGGCATGTATCATTCTCGCTAACATTTCTGTAACACACATACGTTGTACGTGTACGTTGTGTATATCATGTACGTACAACACATTTTGTAGTACTGCAGTTAAAACTATGAAATTGGACAAGGCCATGTCAAGGTTATCGACCCCTGGTCGTCTGGGGACAAGGTCACGTCAAGGCCATGTCAAGGTCATCAACCTCTGGCCGTCTGGGGTCAAGGTCACGTCAATGTCAAGGCCAAGGCAAGGTCGTGAGCTCTGGTCGTCTGGGGTCAAGGTCATATCAAGGTCATCGACCTCTGGTCGTGGGGGTCAAGGTCATGTTAAGGTCATTGGCCTCTGGTCGTGGGGGGCAAGGTCATGTCAAGGTCATTGGCCTCTGGTCTTCTGAGGTCAAGGTCACCTAGGGTCAATGTCACCTCAATTTAAGACTTGTTCTCTACTGGTTCAGACCTGTTTTCTACAGGTTCAGACTTACTTTTTAGTATAAACTGTAACCCTATTATTTCCTTTGTAAATGTAGTGTTAGCAAAAATTGTGGCCACGTAGCGTCTAGACAGCATGCGATAAGAATAACGAACGTTAGCGGGATGAAATAAGAGTCACGGTCAAACTGATGATATATGCACAGTGAAATAAAGTTATCATTTGCCAGTCTACATCGATAGCTTGCAGAAGCAATTAGTCTCCAGCTAGTTCTTCAGTAGTTTATATGCGTTTGTGTCCTTACACCGGCTACAGCAACAGCTTGTTCAAGTAATTATCTCTAGTGTCCCTTTACAAAATACAAATAAGTTATTTCTTTTTTGACATTCAATTATTTACTAAACACATCCTTTATTTTTTATTTATTTTTTTTTCCGCTCTTTTACACCTAATTTTTCTATTGTTGTAGCATGAATCTAAGTCAAATTAATGAGGTTTCCTACATCCGCAGGAATCCAGTAATTAATCTACAGGATCTTCCTGTGGACCAGCCCATACCGATTTGTGGGATAAAAATAGTTAACACCCGGTTTGGGAAGACGGTTCTTGTCGACTTGGGTGAGAACGCAGTATTTTTACCAAGGAGGTCTTTCAATCGAGTCTCTCAATCGAGTCAAATTTGGAACATTTTGTGCCTAGGAAGTACGGATTAGTGTTTAAGGGTCTAGTGCAGTACAACCAGCCGAACCCAGTCATAAATTTCGAAATAGTGGAGCTGTCAGAAGAACTTCGCCAACCAGGACCTGCATAGAAGGATTAAAAAATTGTAAGTGCTCCACATTTTTTATATATTGTTTCTAATAATAATAAAAAAAATTAAATAACAGCCACGACACCCTACCTTGGGGGCACTATTCAATAGATAGTATGTTGTAATTAACTGCAATATATTTAATACATTATAAATGAAATAAACTTTTTATTTTATATATGTCTTATTTGTTTTAACTGTGAACAAGAGTATATTTGTGTAATTTTACTAAAGTTAAATTTCTATTATATTATTGAAACTGGAATAGAGGAAAAAATAAAATAGAATATATTTAATTAGCATATATATATATTACTTATTTATTATATATATATTTATTACCTACTACTCAGACAGTACATTAGTTTGATAAAAGTAAAGATATTCACGAAGGGCATTACTTAATATACAATCATTAGATACGTCACAAAAAGAACTTATAATTTCATTTATATTTAAAGTAATTTGATTTGCTTTTATCCATTTTTATGGTTAATTGGTTCGTTGCGTTGCAAGATGGCTCTAACACAATCAACAGGTAAATATTTTGGAAGGGGAAGTGATAAATTCTTATCACTGTACTACATTTCAGTAGGGTATAAATGGGGATATAGGTGACGTCACACCATGTATTTTCTTATGGACTTCCGGCGGAGTTGCAAGGCGATCGGTTCAAAACTGAGGTGTGACGTCACAGGTCTGCCTGCTAGCGGTGCGGAGCCCGGGTGCTGCGGCGGGTCCCTGGTCCGGCATGCGGAGTACTAGATGATGGATGTTGGGGGCTCTCGTTAGGTTATGTACAGGTGTGCCGCGCCGTTGCGTTGTAGGTTATGTGTGTGTGTGTTAGGTTTGGGATGAGGGGGGCAAATTGGAGCCCTCCGACAATGAAGACTAATATGGAATATGTTTGTTTGTTTGAGAGAGAGAGAGAGAGAGAGATGGTGAAAGAAAGTGACGAAGCATACTTTGAAGCGTGCTCTGTGGTCTATTCAAAAGACAAAATAGGAGCTGCATGGCGAATTTACTTTTTTTTCTATATCGACGAAGATCCCCCACGCCAGAAGGACGTCAAAATCCGATCTGATTGAAATAGAAATGGATTTAAATAAATTCACCATGCAGCTGCTATGATATCAGTATATTAATTTTAGTAAATATGCTAGTTATTTGTAATAAATATCAGTAGACGTTACTTTTATTTAATCGTGTTGCAACAGTCAACTAGTAACGATGAAGGCACTGACAAGTGGTCTGATGCGATATTTTTACTTATCTGCTATCTGCAATTTTAATTTGGTTTTTGGAGTGAACATTACAGAATATTTATTGTAGTACGGATACATAAAAAAATCAGATAATGCTGTAACAAATTTGGAGGAAGCGATCGTTGCATTTCAAGAGTATTATGATTTGCCCATTGATGGAACGGCGAATAAAGAAACTTTGGAATTAATGGGAAGATCTCGGTGTGGTGTTAGAGACGATTTATCAAATTTTCGAATTTCGAGTACTAAATGGAATAAAACAAATTTGAAGTGGTATTTCCCTCGCGCCACTACAAATCAAAGGAGATTGGCCGATAAAGCATTTAAAATGTGGGAGGAAGCTTCTAATCTGAAATTTTCTTTGTCGTACTGGAAACCAGATATTGTTATATCATTCGCAAATGGAATGTACAACCATACGTTTAATAATGCTTGTAAAAGGGGCAATTCTTTTCTTCCGTTCGACGGATATTTTCCAAATGAGCAAAATGAATGCACAGAAATTCACCTAGATATAGCAGAATCTTGGCATGAGGGGGTAGATATTCCTCCTGCGAGAATGTCTAGTTTGTTATCTGTTCTTATTCACGAAATAGGACATACACTCGGGTTGGAGCACAGTTCGCATAAAGATTCCGTAATGTTTCCTTACTGTGATTCAGTTATTAAATTATCACAGGACGATATAAATGGTATAGAATATTTATATGGGCGAAAACAAAAGAATCGATTAACTCCTTCAGTACCTATATCCACGAGCACGACGGAAAGGACAACAAAAAGGGAAGAGGATTCCACCGTGTCCGACTTATGTCTCGTTCTACCAGATAGGTTTTTGGTAACTTCAAATCATCACTTTTATATATTTTACAAAGGTTTTGTGTGGGTATTAAATTTCGATGAAAAAACATATAGGAAGCCAAAACACATTAGTCATTATTTACCTGAAATTTCAAATTTCTCAGTTACACCACATATTTACCAAAGACAATCGGGAGATTTAGTTTTATTCCAGAAAGACCGCATCTACTTTATCGAATTTCCAAATTTTACTATAAAAAACTCTCAATTATTAGCAAAATTTGGATTGAGTGATAGTAATATAAGTAACAATGTATTCACTACATATTCGGGAAGAACTTATATTTTTTATGAAAGCTTTTATTATTTAGAAATAGACGAATGCAGTTATGAAATAAAAAAACGCGGACTGATAAGTGATCTATTTCCTGGTATTCCTCTAGATGTAAATAATGCATTTCGATATATAAATGGCATGCTGTACTTTTTTCGGGATAATTCTTTTTATGAATTCAACGAATTTACTAAGAAAATGACTAAAGCAGGTGAATTTAGTTTAGACCTCTTTGGAATTAACTGTCCCCAACAAAGTGTATTTCAACAAATAAGACAGTTATTATCTCGTCTTGCTGTTTTTGAAGATAAATTATAATATCTACACAAAAAAATTAAAATGAAGAAAGTTACTTTCAACGAAAAAAATAATAAATGCCATCTTATAATTGCTTGGAATTATAGTTATAAGCAATCCAGAAAAACATATTGGGATTTTTTTGCAGTAGATCGAGAGCGATTTCAAATGAGAATTAAGAGAACTTCGGAATTACTTCAGCCCATTTTAGATAAGGACCACAGATACAACATTTATAATGAGAGATTTATATATCATAATAATTAACTTTTACTAACTATTAAATAAATAAATTAAATGTATTTTCATAGCTTAATAAAGAAAAAAAAAAAAAGTTATTTGATTTTTATTATATTATGAGCAAACGAGTTAATAAGGGACAATAAATCATATTTAGAGAAAGAAAAAATACTTTATTTACCTAAAATAATCAAAACATCTCAAAATTTCATATCGTGCAATGTTCCTTAAAAACTAACCTAAAAAATAAATGTGAACATATTTAATGAAAAGATATTTTCAGTGTTATCAAAATTAAAATAATAAACCTAATAATGGTTACATATTTTCTATATCAGAAATACAAGCAATAGTAATATGTCTTAAAATTATAATATTTTTTTAAACGATTATATTGAAGTGATACATTGACAAAATTTTAATTAACATAGAATTAATTACAATATACCTACTATTTTAGAAATATTTTTTTTTCTGCAAACAAACACTAATTAAGATTTATTAAGTAATATTAAAAAGAAAAAATTGTTAATTTTTTAATAAGGAATAGTGTCCTATCGGTAGTGTTGCAATACCATTACTTAAAATAACTCTTTTATTATCTGACGAATCTAATGCAACTTTATTAACATTAATGGTGAAATTTTCATGATTAACACTTCTAATTGTATTGAAATTAACAATTGTCTGTTTGTCCTTAAAAAGACAATTAAAAAAATCCTCAAAACTTATATCTTTCGTACCAGCTCTGCTTACACCTTTTATCTTACACCTCACGTCGCAACCATCGACTTTATAAGTATATACTTTGGATCTTAATGAAATAAATTCTGTCATTATTTTTCCTTTCAGTTCGTCTTTCATAAAACCGGGTAATTTATTATTAACCCTTTCAATACCGAAAATGTTATTATCCGAATACTCAAAAGTATCGAAATGTGTGCGAGCATCTCTTTTAATAATATCATAAATAGTTATGTTATTTACTCCACTTTTAAGAGTGAATTCGAAAACAAATGAGTCTGTATCTGTATAACAAATTTTTGTGTCAAAATAAGGACAGATATCATTTTTTACATATTCGTAATAAAAATCATAAAGCAAATTTTTCGATAACTCTAAGATAGTAAATCCGGTATATATCGGTTTTTTAAATAAAATTTCTGTTTTTTGTAATTCTACGTATATTAAATTTTTGCTATAAATCGTTAAAGTCTTAAATTCAGGTTTAGATATATATTTTCTAGCAATATTCCAACTGTTAACTAATTTTATATTTCTCTTTTTTCTATCTCGCTCAATGGTTTTGCTATAATTCGCATTAATAACTAATTTAAAAAAATTCTTTTCAAAGTTATTGTCCGCCTGCATTCGTTTTTTGGTGTTAAATTCGATAAATTCCTTCAGCCAAGCGCGTTGAGTAAATTCTAAAACTCGATGGATCTTATCTATTAAAAGCCCGTTTTTTAAACATTGAATTAAATTTTCAAAATGAATAACATATTATTTTTTGTCAGTGAGAGTGCACATCAATTTTTTTTCTCTTTTAGAATTTGGACACAATTTATGTTCTGGACAGAACGGCAAATATTTATGATTATCGTGTAAATAATGGGGATAAAGTAAATCTACTTCTAAAATAATGGATTTCTCTGCAGCTTTGCCATATTTGTTGTATAATAGTGTCGGATTATTTTTAAGATTTTCTAAGATTATATGATTTTCTTCTAAATTTAACCATTTAAATTCATCAACCGGCATATTTTGACATTGAGCCCATCCATAAAAATTATTTAAGTCCCAATAAGCTAAATATTTTTCAGGTTTTGAAGGATCGTAAGTAGGCATATAATATTTATTATTGCATTTGCTATATCTGTGAATGGATTGGACGATACCTCCACGAAGGGCTTTTTCGATAAATAAAATTTGATCTATGTCTGTTAAGAGCTTAAGTTTTATTTTTGACATTTTCAAAGCTGCTTGAAATGAAAGTCCCGGTAGAGTGTAGAATGCGGCCCCATCTAAACCGAAATAATCAAAAGTTAATTTTCTAAAACTTTCAAATACCGATGCCAACAAGAGCACATCTATTTTCAAATAAATATCGCTATATTCGCCTAAATTTTGAACATCGAATGCTTTCCAAACGGCCATAGCATGTTGATAATCTTTTTCTTGTATATCTTCGTTAGTCAATTTATAAAAAAAATATTTTTTTTCTGGTAAAACAGTCTCATCTAATTTTTCCCAAGAATTCACATAATCGTAAGGGAAGACACCCTTCCGAATAGCTAAACTGAATTTGTCATTATCTGTAAAGTGATTTTTTACTCTAAATAGATCATCACGTTTTAAATTATTGCTCAGTTCATGTAAAGATGCAGGCAAAAACCTATATGAGTCTAAAAAAATTAAATTTATATCACCTATGAATAATGAGAAAGAAATGTAGTTCTCATGATTTAAGGGTAAGATTTTTATTTGGGAAATTTCAGATAACTCCCGCAAAAATAAATTCATGTCATAGTTCAAATTGTGAAAGAAAATAGGTACTTTGAAATCTACCTGAATTTTTAAATTGCATGTATTACATATACAAGAAAGGTATTTTCCAGTATAATGATTATGGTGCTGCACTTTCTTATTATTCTCGGAAAATTGTCGATCACAAACATGACATTTATCTGCGATTTCGAAGGCTTGTTTTTCTTTAAGCGGTATTAATTTTTTGCAGTTTTCTTTTTTTAGTATGTTAGAAATTTCAAGGCATTCAATTTTCAAGGAATCTACGAACCACTTAGTTGCATTCGCACCCCTATATCCTAAACTTATCATGTTTTTCGGATTTAATGGTAAAAGAAGCTAGTGGATTAGGTAAACATAAATTAAATTTTCTTGTAAAACATTCAAAATCAGCATATATAGCGAAAGGTTTAATTATTAAAGCTTTAAAATTGGTAAATTCTAATACATTATTTGTTTCGTCAGGTAACAAAATTTTAACAGGATTAAATAAAGAACAATTATTTTTATGATCGACAAGCTTAGACTCTATTGAAAAATGATTAAGACATGAATCACAAACGAATATTTTTGATTTATGATTAGTAACGTTTTTTCTTACTAATTTTGAAAGATCAGTGATTAAACAATAATGGCCGATTTTACTATAAGCATTTTTGGTTATATATAATAAATTGATATGATATTGTTTGGTTTCTTTTGTATGATACAAAGGACCATTTAGCGTACCAGTTATTTTATCTACACCAAAAACGTTTATAGAAATGCTGGGATTCTGTTTTTCAAATTTATAAATATCACTCAACTTCATCGGCATTTCAATATTTTTCAAATTAAACATTTCATGGACATTTTGTGTATATGATTCGACACACTCAGCATTATTACATGTAGGATATAAATGAGACAGTATACTCCAAATAAAACACCTAGAATCACTATTTTTAACATTAATAATACCTTTTTTTTCTGAAGAGCAGGAGGTAACGGAATGTATGTAGAAACTCCTCCACTGATTGGTGAAAATTTGTTTATAGAAATAATTAAATATGAAGTGGTCCTATAAGTCCATCCAGATCCGTGAGATTCAAATTCTTCTATCTGTAAATAAAAAAACTATATATGTAAAGAGAGAGAAAGACAGGATATATAACTACTTACTTTCCTGAGAATGGTTTCTATTAATTCCAAAAGTACATTCTTAATATTACTATCTATTAAAATTTCCTTATTTTCTGTTACAAAATGTTTATAATCAATTTCTTCTGTAGATAATAGTTCAAATTCGCAACAAAGTTTCAAATAGATTTTAATCGGTCCAGATTTTTTTAGTATATTTCTTAATTTTATAATTAATATTTTTATACATTCCTCCAAAAATCGAGATGGATCTTTATAAGCCAAATTTATTATTGTAGCTGTAATTATTCTAGACTTGAATGCAGATGCAATCTAAAAGCATGAAAATGCATTTAAATATATATGTAAAAAAATAATAAAAAAATAGAAGACTTACAATTTTCCATGCAACCCTTTTCGGAAGCCTATTAGAATAATTGTTATGTTGTAATCCGCTGGAACCAGCACCTCCTGCAAATCCTCCACTTCCATGTTTAATTTTGTGTTGACGTATTTGTTCATTGAATGATTTTAATAAACTTAATGCATTTTCAAATTTTAATTTTTCCGGGTGAGTTAAATCTGATTTTTTAAATTTATTTAACACTTTTCGGATTGAGTTTTTATTAAATTTGGAAAAATTTAGTCTATCACTTTCAGATTTAATGGCCAAAAAAAGTTTTTTAGTATCACTTAATAAATCGTTAATGTTCATCTTTAATTATTTATTTTTTCAAATTCAAAGCAATTGGCCCGACCACCGCTACTTCCGACGACTTTTTGTCCGTCATATATTATATACGACCCACTCCCAGCCAGCATGTCATCGATAGTGGACTTTGTAAAATACGGTACTAGTCTTTTAGGTAAAAACACAACATTTTGTTCTAGTTCCACCAACACCGTGTCGCCATATGTCGTTTTTAATTTTCTTATACCAACAATTTTATGTTTAACACCAACACCCATTGCTTCCGGGGATATTTTTTTTTTTGTATTCACAACATCCCACTGCATTTAGTTTTTCCATTTTAATAAAAATTTTAAAATTTAAATTACGGTCAAACACGATCAATAATCGGCAACTTAATAATGATGAAAATTTGACTTTTATCACCTTATATAGGTAAGGTGCGACAAGTGATATCGATACGGAAATAAGGTTCCTGTTCTGTAAACTGATAAGTAGATACGGTAATACTTGAGAAGTATTATTTCACTGAAATCATTTAATTTCTGAAATAACTTATCTAACTATAATTATTTAGCTATAAATTTTGATGAAATATTAGTAGTTATTTAAAAAAAACGGATTAAAAAAAAATTATAGAATATGAAAAATATAAATGATTATTTCAACTGTTTACGGAATTGCAGTATATGCAACAATTTCTATAAAAATATAAATATAACCGATATTTACATAAGGAACATCTGGAATTAATATAAAACTGATATTCATAAGAATCCATGCAGTAATGACCTAATTTACAATAAAAATTTTTTCTTTCATCATCATCAATGTTCAAATCTCGATTGCTCCTCCAACAAAAATCACAAAATTTCACTTGATCGTCAGTTACGTAGGTTTCCACTATACACAGTCTTGAATTTAATACTGACGGAGCGTCTCTAAAAATTTCAAAGTCGTTATCACTATCTGAGCAACTGTCATAACCACTTGATTCATTGGCACTCATTTTCTCTCGTTTGCTCACAATAGAAAACAAATATGTTGATTGTAATGAAAACAATTTTTTTATATTTTTATATGATATCTAGGCAGGTATATATATACAGGAAGCGATAAAGGTAGTATAGATTTTTAATTAATTATGTAGTATAAAGGATCTGGTTAACCAAAGTATTAATCAATTAATTATTTCAAAAGTTAAGATTTGCTTTATCCTCTGTTTTACTTTGTTTCGGATATGTGTATGCTATAAAAAAAACTAAGGTAGATTTCCTTTAGAAATTGTTTATTTATCAACTTAAATATGCATTACAAAACCACAATATTATTTAAAATAGTTTTAACATAATGTTCTGATTTAAATATTCTTTAATCTTATCCAAATTTATATACATACATTCAATCATTGCACAACTACATAAATCAAAACTCAAACTATTACAGCATAACCACAGAATACTGTCCATGTCCGATTTGTATTCATTTTGAGATAAAATATCAGTTACATTTTGAAGAAAATTGTAATAAAATTCTTTGAATTTTAACATTAAGAGCAAATTAATTTTATGTGAAATTAGAAACTCAAGTTTAATTATTTCTTTACATATAAAATCGGTCAAATAGTATGACATATTTTTAGACTTAAGAATTAAAACAATTCTTCCAGATATGACGCGGGTACGATAGTCATCTCGTTCATTAATTTAATCTCTGTTGCATCTTCCTCATCACTGCTGAATAATTCATCCAAACTCTGGTTGTTTGCGTTACAAGTCATATACATCTCCATGCCTTTTTTTAAATTCATTAAGAAATCTTGCCACTCTTCATAATCGAATGAAATATTTGGAAAGTATTCGCAGGATAATTTATTGGTTAATTTTACAGCAGGTTTAAAATCTCTCACACAACTTATTCCACACGATATTGTAAATGAAGTCCCTTCAATATCAATTTCAGACTGTAGAAGGTAATGTTTTTCCATACCTATTTCCTTTTCATAATTTCCTATTGTACGTTCGATTTCCTTGTAGAAGTTTAAATTTTCGGTAGATTGTTGTTCGAAGAAATAATTATCTTCTAATAAATTTCGTGCATTGGAAACAGTTGTTTTACGTAATTTTCGTACCGTTGCGCCTTCACTAAAATCATCACTGTCTTTGCGTTTAGATTTCTTTAGAGACACAGACATTATTACACCTGAATTAGAACGAATACTGAAAGTAAAATTTAAAAAAAAAACTAATTTTATAAAATTTCCCTCTCTTAAGCAATATCTGATGTCGTAAGCCAGCTCTTTTCATTAAGGCCTAACCATTTAACATACATTTTTTTTCCTTTTTTTCTCAGTACTTTTTCAATTAGATAAGCATCCGGGATCTTAGTTTTCTGAAGTTCTTGTTCGTAAAATCCACCTTTTATTGGTAGATTATTCATATCATTTAACAAATAAGTAGTAGGATTTGTCGGTTTAATTTCATATATTTTAAACAACTCTGTAGTCCAATTGGGCGTATATCCTTTTTGAAAAACATGTTTGAATTTTGAAATTCTAACGATGTCGCCTATACTATATTTCGTTGTTTTCCACAATTTATTATTTCCTCCCCTGTTCCGTTTATATATAGTTTTCAAAATGTCTGCTTCATTGGTTTTATTTATTTTGTAAGGTTGGAGACCTGTTGTTCGATGTTTTGTTTCATTATATCGCCGAGTTATATCATCTAGTATGTCTAACCATTTATAACTTCCATTTAAACTAAATAATTTATAAAGTTTATCTTTTAACGTTCTTATTACTCGTTCTACTATTGCACATTTCATCACACTGTATGTATGATAGTGGTTAATGTTATATTTTTTCATTAAATTGGAAAATTTCGTATTAAAAAATTCCTTACCTTCGTCTGACTGAATATTTTTTACCATGGAACGGGGATGTATCTTTTTTAATATCAATTCCATGGCTATAGAAACATTTTCCGCATTTTTATTTTTTATCGGTCGTGTCCATACGAACTTTGAAAAACAATCAATTACTACCAAAATATATCGGAATCCTCTATTAAATGAGGAAAATTGTTGCAATTCTGCCAAATCTATTTGCCATAGATCATTTATACCCTTAATAATTGTACTACGCCTTTCAAATTTTCTTCTAGCGGGCTTATGTAATTCTTTAACGATTTGTTCTTTAGTTTTTGTAGGTTTAATTTTATGCGACATTTTTGTTATCAATATCTATATGTTTGTATGTCCGCTCATGTTACTTAACTACTGTTCAATTTTGTCTAATCGCGAGTTTATTACTTTGACATCATTGGTGAAACGTTTATCAAGAACCATTAGGTCGTGTTTTAATCTTTTTTCCGAATTATCAATTAAAAGTTTAATTCTATTTTCAACCACTTGAAGTATGACACTTTCTAGATTACGAGTCTCATTGTGAAAATCATTTGTTGTCATATAAATTAAGTTATCTACATAACTCTTCGTTGTAGAATCTTGAGGTTCAGAAGGATTTTTCACATTACATATTTTCTTAAAATCAACATCGTAATCTCCATTCGATGTATATTTTAACTGATACCGAACAGAATATAAACTATCATTTTCTTTCATTTTTCGTATGTACCGATGGCCCCGTCCGAATTTATCTAATGACATTATGATAAGCAAATTAATATATTACTCCGGCTTCTTTTAACTCTTGTTCGATAGAACGAATTTCATTTAAATGAGAATCGTTTCCTGCTCTCGATGATGCGTGTAGCAGCGCGAGTCGAGAAATAAGTTCATTTACATTATCCCAATATATATATTCCACTGGCTTCGTATTAATGACATTCATATTTCCTCCATCGTATTTTTTTTTCTGGGTGTCCTTTACACTTACTAAGGGTTTAATAATATGTTTCCATTTCCACGATTTATTACCTTTTAATTGACTGGAAGGGTTGAAGTTTCTATATTGCAAATTAGATAGTAATGCTATATTTTTATAATATTCCATATCGGTCTTATTGAATTTATCAGGACTTTTCTTAAAAATTAACTCATACAGTCCCTCGGAAGGAGGAAATTCGTTATTGCCCATTTTTATACCCCCATTTTTCATAATTTGGAAATCCTTATTACCTATACTCCACTTTTCTTCTACAACATCAAATTTTGGGCCGTATACCTCATCGATCTCACTTCGTTAATTAAATAAAATGTCTCGCAAGTATTTGCGAGGCAATTCCGCATACTGTTCGAAATATTCGTTAAGAGCTCTGGGATCGTAATTACTTATATCAAGATTTTCTTGTAAAGCACTATTATCTAAATATTTCGCTTGATTTATTTCGGGTAATGATTCGTAAAACTCCATGCGATCATTATTGTCATCTGGTTGACCTTCTTTTTCTGCGATAACACCTTCCTCACCTGTATTCCGTATGAATTTAGCCGATACTCGATTACCAGCCCGACCATAATATTTTATTTTAGGTTGATTGGTTGCCTCATTTTCTGGTATAGTATGAAAATATGAAGGTAATTTGCGAGATTTCGCTTTATTAAATCGTCGCTTAATTTTAAATTTAAATTTTCTGTCTTTATGTTGGCTATTTTTAGAAATTTTCTCTTTTATTTCTCGAAGAGGTTCAGATATGGGGCTAAATAACTTGTTAATACTTTGCTGTTCATCCACTAAACCCTGCTTTATTATTTTATACTTCTTTCTAACATTATTAGCAGCTTCGATTAATTTTCTCTTCACATCTAATGAATGATGTGATGACATCGATGACATTTTTGTGAGTGTAATGAAGAAAGACTAGATCTTAAATATATACATGCATATTAATGTATATAGCTAAACCAGAACATATCTGATCGGAACTGGTCAACAGGCTATTAGAAACTGTATTATTCTCTTCAAAACAGCTAATCTATGCTGATCAAAACAGATAACTGTTCTGATCTGTTTATTTGCGACATTTTAAATAAGAATATTGTAAAAAAAATATATAATAATTCTCATAACAGTATAAATTTATATAATCCCATTCTATAACGTCCCTTGTCGATATCATCATCCTTAACGATAACTATGAAACCATATTTATTTTTCCAGCACGAGCCACAAATACTTTTGAAAGTACCGAAATCCATATCCATATTAACATGTTCATTATATATATGTTTTAAATTAATATCATCTTGTTTGAATAATATTAACAGATTAGAATTATCTCTAATTAAGTGTTTAGGAATTCTAGTATACGTTTGACATAAATAAAAACAATCTACGTGGTTATGTCTACCCATACAGAAAAATGATCTAATCTTATCCTGTTTATCACAGGCGACATCATCGAATATAAAAATGGAATTTTTCCTCGCTTCTGACGGATCTAAAATATCTTCGTTTTGTTCAAATGGTAGATACTGAACGCCATCCACTTGTTTCAAAACATTTTTTAAAAATTCATATTTATTTTGAAATAGCGATTTTGACCATATTTAAATGTTCTCAAACCGAATGCCGTTCGGTTCTAGTAAAAGACTTAATAGAACGTTTGTCTTTCCGCAATTACTAGGACCGCACACTATCGATCTAATCGTATTTGGGAAAAGCATTCCATGTCTTCTAAGAGAGGCATCACTTTTACAATCAATCCGATCATCTTGGTTTTCGACAGGTAAATTCAGTTTTTGTTTAACCACACGCATATTGTTTATTTAACAGATTGACAGATAATGATGTATGATAAATCATGTTAAGTTATAAATAACAGAAAATCACACTTCTAAAATTAGTATTGTTATCTGTTGAATGTAAAGGTTTATTAGATACTGTTATCGATAAAGGTCCCATAGAGTTATATATACTGGGATATTCTTTTTGTGGTCCAGGAACTAAACTACAGGAAAGACTTGATAGAGGGGAACGAGGAATAA